TTCCACTCACTCATTGCCATTTGAAAAACTTGTAATACACCTCCAGCTTTGTTCTATATGTAATGAACAGACAATTGGTGATGAATTTCATGTTTTACTCACATGTCAGATTGTTCAAGCTCGTACTAAATTTGAAACAGAATTAGAAATTTATGATGGCAACATTCATGATTTATCAACTCTTGAGAAATTCAAGTGCTTGCTAGGCACTAAAGATAGCTTCATTGTCAATTGCTTGGGAAAATTTATTGATTTTATTTCTAAGCTTTAGTTTAGTCTATTGTTTTGTTTGTGTTTTTTTTGACCATTGATTTATTGTATATTTTTTTTTGTTCATACTAAATTTTGTGTCAAATAAAATATCTATCTATATGGGTATTTGTAGGTTCAACATCTCCACAGAGAATGCCAGTATCAATGTGGTTGATTTAGAGGCTTTCTATTTCTAAGTGTGGTGATACTATTTACTATTATACTAGGTATCAAAGCATATCTTTGCCTTTCAAGTGTTTACATTGTCGTCTATGGAAAGCGAGAGGGTCATATATTGTTGAAGTGAGCCACCAATCGAGCATTTATTGGTGCTTTTGCTTTTATGAGCTTGAGGGCGCTATGGACCTGATGCGTATTTGCTGAGGTGGAGGTGGGGTTTGATAGAATCAAGATGGAAGTTGGAATATATCGTATCGTTATCATGGACCTCGTGCATGACCCCCCCCCCCCAACACAATGTGACACATCCTGGTACCTCAGTAAAGTACAAAGTCATTATCAATGAGAATTTCTGAATTATACTCACCTTAACCACAAGTTGAAGTTCAAAAATAGTTTAATAGTTTCTATTGGACATGCTTTTATGTGACAGCGGTAGCAGAAAATGCCAGCATGTGTGACCTCCAGTGCATCATGTTACCGGATGTTATGATATTAATAATAATATTTAGTAACTCCTAATATCTCCCGGAGAATATAAAAATGGTCATACACAAAACAAAAAAAGAACAACAACAAAAGCAAAAGCTGCAAATTCATTCAAAAACAGTTACTGTCTGGTATTGAGACTGGCCTTTAATGAATTGCTCATGTGTAATAGTATGTTGTTGATGTACCACAAATGATCGTGTGTGAGTGCATCTACCTCTGCTGTCCATTTGTAGTGGGGCTGTGGCAAAATCAATTTTTGAGATTCGTACAAAGAACAGATATTATACTGATAAAGATCTTCCAGAGTCCGTATTATACTGGTAAAGATCTTCCCAAGTCCGTATTATACTGATAAAGATCTTCCCAAGTCCGTATTATACTAATAAATATCTTCCCAAGTCCGTATTATACTGGTAAAGATCTTCCCGAGTCCGTATTATACAGATTTTCCCGAGTCCGTATTATACTGGTAAAGATCTTCCCGAGTCCGTATTATACCAGTTGGTAAAGATCTTCCCGAGTCTGTATTATACTGATAAAGATCTTCCCAAGTCCGTATTATACTGATAAAGATCTTCCCGAGTCCGTATTATACTAATAAAGATCTTCCCGAGTCCGTATTATACTGATAACGATCTTCCCGAGTCCGTATTATACTGATAAAGATCTTCCCGAGTCCGTATTATACTGATAAAGACCTTCCCGAGTCCGTATTATACTAATAAAGATCTCCCCGAGTCCGTATTATACTGATAAAGATCTTCCCAAGTCCGTATTATACTGGTAAAGATCTTCCTGAGTTTGTATTATACTAATAAAGATCTTCCCGAATCCGTATTATACTGATAAAGATCTTCCCGAGTCCGTATTATACTGGTAAAGATCTTCCTGAGTTTGTATTATACTAATAAAGATCTTCCTGAGTCCGTATTATACTGATAAAGATCTTCCCGAGTCCGCATTGTACTGATAAAGATCTTCCCGAGTCCGTATTATACTGGTAAAGATCTTCCCGAGTCTGTATTATACTGGCAAAGATCTTCCCGAGTCCGTATTATACTGATAAAGATCTTCCCGAGTCCGTATTATACTGGTAAAGATCTTCCCGAGTCCGTATTATACTGATAAAGATCTTCCCGAGTCCGCATTGTACTGATAAAGATCTTCCCGAGTCCGTATTATACTGGTAAAGATCTTCCCGAGTCTGTATTATACTGGCAAAGATCTTCCCGAGTCCGTATTATACTGATAAAGATCTTCCCGAGTCCGTATTATACTGATAAAGATCTTCCCGAGTCCACATTATACGACACGCGTTAAAAAGATGACTTTCAGAAATGGTGAAATTAAAATAAAATAAGATAGTAACACCTCATAGTGGGAGAGTAATTATATAAATATTGTAATGTATTATTGTATTGTAATTTGTATCCACCTTTTATCTTTCATTGTTATTCAATTGTTTTATTGCTTTGTAATTTTTAGTGACCTTACTGCTATGTTGTGTTAATGGATAAGTCAATATATGAATTCCACGTGTTATAAATAATTGATAAGGTTTTAGTCGATTTGGCAGGGGCAGATCTAGAATTCTGGAATAGGGGGGCCGATAAGTTGGCCTACGGCCAAGTTGGCGAGCGCCGATGGCGCGAAGCCCTGTTGGTTGTTGAAAATAAGGGGGGCCGCGGCCCCCTCGACCCTCATCTAAATCCGCCAATGTTTGGTGAACCACAGTCCTTCCTCTTTTTGGAGGGACTGTGGGTGAACACATAGTAAACGTAAGTCTCCAAGAATTAAAACAACTGTATCTTGGTGACGTCACCTTGGTAATCAAGGAAATTCCAATGGCATACGTGGATGTTGAACAAATTGTTGCATTTTTTTTTTTAAACAACACAATCCAGAATTCTGTGTATATTATAATACACCTTTTAAGACATACGTGATTATTTGGAATTGCGTGATAACCTAATAGCTCACATGTCAATTGTGGCTGAATTCGTCATATACATGTACTAGTATATATATATATGATTGATCGTGATATATATATGTTTGACAGAGGTATGGAAAATGGAAGTCGTTAAAAATAATCTTTGGTAATTATTCTGTATAACCAGACGTTCCGCCAATGAGCCTTGGTGTGACGCCTTTCTCGGTAATGTTCAATTAAAAATAAATTTGAATATTCTATGGGCAGCGATGACGTGTCAAAACCGCTTGCGATGTTCATATCAGTACGTATGCAACTTAGACAGCAACACACAACTTAGACAGCAACACACAACTTAGACAGCAACACACAACTTAATTGTCATATTTTTCGTTTTTTAAATTATATTATGTGTACTTTTATTTCCATTAATTGTAAACCTTTTCATCTCTTCTAAGGGTTGTTATGTGTTAATACAATTATCGTAATATCATGTATCCAATACATTATTACACAAATTCAAGTGTGAATATATATCTATATTTGATTCCGAATGAACATCGCCATGCCACGTTATATTTAAAGTTCAGACTAATTATGATTCTTAAATTTAACTTACGATTCATGGCGATTCCAAGAAGACATATTACACTAATAGAAACACAAGAGACTTGGCCCGTATTCTTGTATGTTAAAGAAACGAGCACTACACCGTAGCCTTTTTAAAAAAAGTAAAATGACTGAATTTCCTTGGGAAATATGGCTCTCTTCGTGAAAGTATAATATGATCTGTCAGGTACACACGTACCAATACTCTAATCTGTGATTAAAATAGGATGACTATTTTATTCACTGCGTGTCCCTCCCCCTCCATGTACACATATTGGATGTCAGTATCGAATTTTCTGGAAAAATATGCATATTCGTACGTGACGAAGGCATGCTAACACGTTGCTAACTTTGAATGAGCAATTATGTCTAGTATGCTGAGCACCTGGGTGCTAGCGCCACCACTCGACATACATCGTCAGCGACACGATAGTGTGGGTAGTACACAGGTTCTGGTTGACTAATAAACTTAAATTTAAATATTTAAACATGTTTGTTATTTCATAATCTGTTTATCTTCCTCTCAAGTTTATTTGGTGTATGGGCAAAAGGCTTACCGGCAAGGTAACTAGACTGGTTATTCCAGTGACGACCGTAAATTTTTGATTCAGGTTTGTAAAGCTGAGATTAGAAAGCAAATAATTTAGAATAGAACAGGTATTATAACAAATACCACAGACTGGCACAGTCTGGGCGATTTATTTCTTTTTAAATTTAAAATTAAATAAAAAAAATAGCAAAATGGAGGTGTTAACGCGAAATCCATTTTTTTATTATTATTATTTAACTGAAAAAAATCACCACAGCTGGGCCAGTCTACAAATACCATTAGCAACATAAATAAAACACAGGTTTTCTTTCATGAAAATAATCCGTCACTTTGTCCTAGTTGTGGCATAATGTTAATAGCTCTACTTATGCCCATTGGTATCGTGTGTGTCCAATCTGATTAAAATAAGATCCTGGTTGGCTTTCACGAACAAAACCATTCTTGCGGCAAAATAATTGTAACGTCAAAAAATAATTAAAATTAATAATAATTATTAGTAAATAATGAAAATAAATAATAATAGTAATTATATTTAAAAAAAAAAAAAAAAAAAAAAAAAAAAAAATTAACCTAACCAGGATCTTATTTTAATCAGATTGTGTGTGGCACTTCTCTGGTGAGATTTGAGACTTTTCAAAACTTGTGTAACGATTTTTTGATTTTATAATTAAAAGTTATAAAAAGTGTTACATATTTCTGATCGATTTATTTGCATTTCAGCCCTGTAGTTGTGACTGTGGTACAAGACAAGGATATATACTTACTGTCTCTTAGTTTAGTGGATATAATAACTTTACAAGAATTACATGTACTCGGTCTTATATACTTTTTTATTGTAAGCTGTAAACGTACGATTGATGACGTTCATTGTACTAGTTATCTTGTCGGCTCAGTAAGAAAGTCATAGAAATAACATAAACCTTATTAAGCAGTCATACCCTCGTTGAACTCCCGCCATTTTCGAAGACCCCGGAAATAGAAGTATTGATACCATCTCTGTGCTCCTCGTCACGGAGGATTTTATTATTACCGAACCCAGAAGGTAAGAACCCAATAATACTGCGCATGCAATGGTTGCATTCATATCAAGTCGAGCATCTTCGTATAACTCTGAGTTCGTACTGGATATATAAATTAAACCCATGAATGACCGAATTACGATCTTTCTCCGGGGTCAACACCATCTTTACAAGCAAAATCACAGTTAGAAAATAATTAAATTAGAATGAATTTATCGCCATCCCTTGGCGCAATGTCTGTTTTGTGTTGTGATACATTTGTGGATACCATCTTGGGAATTTAATTTCCAAATCATAGATTTACTTTATAGTTTGCTTTTTTTATATTACTGTATTTATGTGTCTTTGATTTTACCAACTGTGCAATTGTATACCTTTCAAATATTATGAAGTTATCATGTGATATCACTGTTTGTAAGCTGGTTAATATGAGTGAAATCATGGGCTAGTATTGAAAGCACAAACCAAATATCAGTACACATTACAGCCCATGATGTCAAGAATATTAACCAGTTATACAAATAAGTGTTATCAGATAAGTGTTTTATCCCATGACAAACTCTGAGCATGAAATAACAGAAGATTCATGATTTTACAGAATATGCTTATGAATCATATGCTTATTATGCATGCTAACAATGAATGTGCAATGCCAATGATTTAGTAATTTTTTTAAAAAATAAACTTACTATCATCGTTATTATGAGTTCTTGTCATTGCACCATCAGATTAATTGGAGGTAATTCATGTCTAATAACAGAAATAATATTTAGTATTGCTTAGAGCAATATTTATATTTTTCTCAAATTCTCTACTTGAGAAAATGTAAACATTGCTACTTGTAATACTACGAGTGTGAAAAGGAGCAGCATATTCCATGAGAGCATTGGAGAGCCAGAATAAACAGTATGCGCACTCCAGGATCTGTTCTCATGCTTGTTGCTGAATATCCAAATATTTGATGTGGGGATTACTGTCAAAAATCAAAATATTTCCTTTGCCGAATTATTGACAAATATATCAAAAACTAAGTAAATTTTAAATTTGTATTAGAAGCCGCATCCCTAATAGAAGTCGCACCCAAACCTTTTGTACAATTGAGAACCAAAAATTCATCATTTCTCATATGTGTAGATGCTCTAATATAAGCCGCATCCCCTCTGTTGCTTTGTACCAATTTTAATAGAAGCCGCGGCTTCTAATACAGATTTTACAGTATTTAAGTACTGATATGTGTCCTAAGTACTGATATGTGTCCTAAGTACTGATATGTGTCCTAAGTACTGATATGTGTCCTAAGTACTGAATAAATTTGAATCTGTAGTCTTAAATTTGCATACAATATTGAATCTACACATCTAGATTATCTACATTTTGCAATGGATTCGCCTGAACATTTGCTATAACAATTAAAAAGATGCCGATTCCACACGGAGTTGTCAATAACGATAATGATTACATCAGTTTATAGAAACAAAGTGACCAACAATCACAAGATATAGCATTGTATGGATTAAATAACACAAAATATTGCATGTCATTTTTAAAACAATTAATAGGACATCACAGTTTCTCAAATAATTGTTGTTATTCAGTCTAAAGTCTACCTCAAAATAAGGAGATTTTATTTTTCCTTGCTAACATATTATAAAGGAGGTTTATAAGATTGTGTATATTATTCTAACTCCAGAAAATCAGTGTTTCTGATGTTAACTAACCAGTAATTGTTCAGTGTCAAGTAATTTAGAATATCACATGGACGGAAAAAGAAAAGCTGGAACTGCGTTTGCGGCAGCAAGAAAACGGTCAAAAGTTGACACTGAAGATGAACCATCTGCCTTTGAAGAAGAGTTAGCTTCTTTAGAAAAAGAGGAATCAGAAAAATCACAAAGTCAAGGATCTACTAATGGGAATTCTACTTTGAGTACTGGTATGTATTGAGTATTATTGGATCTAGTGTGGTGCAATGTTAGACTGTAGTACTATTTTGTTTCCATCAGGCTATCCTTTTGGACATTCGGATATCTTTCTGCAGTTCTGAGTTACAATGTAAAAATAAATTGGACATTGATTGTCATTTTATAGAATCCTTTACTGACAACAAATGGGGAAGACCGCCAGCGCCACTGTTGAATGAGAAAACAGATAATATCATATTTCAACAGATTGATGTTGATCATTACCTAGGTAAGACAAATTACCAAATTATTATCATAACTTTCAACATATCCATTTGTTAGGTGTGATCAGATTCACAACATGAAGCAATTGACTTAAAAACAATTATTTCTAAAACTGGTGTTCTATTGTTGTATTGCATATTGTTGAATTTCATACAAAAATAACTTTCATAATAGAAAATGATGTAATTATTATTATTGCCTTATTTCCGGAATTCACGGATGATATTTGCAAACAGACCTATTCTAAGAGAGCCCTGCAATACCATGGTTGAGACAAATAAATGTGGTAGATCTGTCACAAACTGACTGAAAGGACACAATACAATAGGGGACATAGAATTGAGCATCTCTATTTTAAAGCAAATGACAATTCTTTGTAATCCAGTACACTTGAACACCATAGCAGTTTGCTATACCAACTGTTTGTGGATTTTATTCGTGTCTATTCTAATTGTATTATGACTACATGCATGCATGTTTGTTCTGTGTGATGCTACCACTGAAAGTAACACTGAACATGTTTGAATGAAGTTGTCATACTGCCTTATTTCATCTCTAGTCTGCTAAATTATATGGATTACCTTTTAGGTCAACCTCTGAAGGGGATGCCCGGCTCCACAATAGGACCAGTTCCAATAGTACGTATGTTTGGGATTACAGAAGAAGGCAATAGTGTACTTTGTCATATCCATGGCTTCTCCCCATACTTCTATGTGCCAGCACCAAAGGATTTCAAATCTGAACACTGTCGAATGTTTCTTGAAAAGTTGAACCAAGCTGTCATCCAGGACATGAGATCTAACAAAGATAACATCAGTCATGCTGTTCTAGCGGTCGATCCATGTGTTAAAGAAAGTAAGTTGATATCTATCAAATTTATCTGTTAATTAAAAGCCATGTTCACCAATTCTTTCTCCATAGTTAAATCTTATTGAAGCTCTACACAAAATCAATATATTGGCATATGTACACAGTTTAGATTCACGGTCTGATCAAAAATGAGTGACTGACTAACCATTTATTTAACTTGTGCATGTTTATTATTAAATTAATGCTTACAGCATGCTCTGTGTCATGGTAAGGGCAACATGGTACCAGACCAGAGCCAGCATGTTCTGTGTCATGGTAAAGGGCAACATG